GTGGTATTTGCAGGACTTTTGCAGGGTGCCAAGGGGATCCCGGTCTCCTGTCTTCATTTCTCCTCCATGATTTTCATTGCTTTTCCCATGAAAATGGCTTCCTTTTGATCTCTCCTCTCTCCTTTCTCTCTCCCTTCTCTTCTCTTGTTCTCTTTTGAATCTCAAAATCACACCAAAGGAAGCTTCTTTTCCTTATTGAATGAAAAAGAAAAACAAGAAAAGAGATAGGTAAAGACACTGAAGAGCTCCACTGCCTATTGTTTCATTCCCTTTCCTCTCTTTCTATGTGTTGTTTCCTTGTCGTTTCAGAAAGCTAGCAAAATAAGAGCAAGGGGGCTTCCTGAAGAGGAGAGAGGGCACCTATTTGTTTTAATTATAGAGGGGAAAGCGAGAGACAAGGAAGGGAGAGATGATAGATAAAGAAGAGTGCTATCCGGCTCCTTGTTTCTTGTGTCTTCTCTTCTTTTCAGTTCATCATATTCCTCTTTTCGGCCTGTCTCTTCTGCTCTTTTCCTTACCCTTCTCCTTTTCAAGTTCTTCCTTTTTAGTTTTTCTGTTTCGAAAAGAAAGAGGTAAGGGAGAGAGAAGGGCGAGAGGATAGATAAAGAAGAGTGCCATCTTCTTTGCGCCTTGTTTTGTCTCTCCATCTTCTTTGTTCATCTCTCTTCTATTCTTTTCTTGGCTCTTCCCATTAGAATTGTGTTCCTTTTATCTCTGCTCTATCTCTGCTCTCTCCTTCTCGTTCCCTTGTCTTCTCCTGTTCCCCTTTAAATGACAAAAACACAAGAAAGGAAGAAGAGGGGAATGGAGGCCCTTTTCCTGTATTCTCCTGTTGCAATGAATAAGGAAAAGAGCATAGGAGATAAGGAAGGGAATTGAAAAGAAAATGGGCGATCGGGTGTCCTTTTTGCTAGTTTTCTGCATCTTCAAGGAAGAAAAAAGGACACCCACCCAAGAAGGAAAAGTAACTTAAGAGATAGGGAGGAAATTGAAGAGCTCCTCTCTTTACCTAGTCATTCCCTGTCCTCTCTTCTTATCTGTTGTTTGTCTTATTCGCTTCAAAAAGCAAAATAAGGGAAAGGCGATTTCCTGAAGAGGAAGAAGGGCGCCTACCTGTGAATAGCAAGATTGATTTTTCTAATTAGGGAGAGACTTGCCCCGCCTGAGCCTCCCTGGCCTGCTTGTTGTGGCCACATACAGTTGCGCTTCCAGCAAAATGGCATCCTTGTTATCTCATCTCACTTCTCTTTCCCTTCTCTCCTTCTGTTTCCTTTTGACTGATAAACCACAAGAAAGGAACTTGTGTGATAAGGCAGTGGAAGGGTAAGCAGAGGGTGACTCCTGGCGCGTGGACCGGTCCATACTTCATCATACCCCTCCCCTCGGCCTATCTCTTCTGTTCCTTTCCTTACCCTTCTCCTTCTCATAGTTCTTCCTTTTTGTTTTCTTATTTCGAAAAGAAAGAGGGAAGGGAAGAGAGAAGGGAGAGAGGATAGATAAAGAAGAGTGCCATCTTCTCTGCGCCTTGTTTTGTCTCTCCCACTTCTCTATTCATCTCTCTTCTATTCTTTTCTTTGCTCTTCCCATTAACAATGCAATCCTTTTGTCTCTCCTCTCTCCTTCTCTCTCCCTTCTCTTCTCCTGTTCCCCTTTAAATGACAAAAGCGCAAGAAAGGAAGAACAAGAGGGGAATGGAGGCCATGTTCCTTTCTTTTCCAATGGATGGGGAAAGCGAGCGGGGTTGGCTCCTTGTCCGTAGACCCTCCCCATGCTGCAGCAAATCCCTCCTCTCGCCCTATCGCCTCTGTTCTTTTCCTTGTTCCCAAACGGAAAAAGAAAACGGGTTCCTTTACATGTTCATTGTTCTTCCTTTTGTTTTTATTTGAAAGGGAAAGATAAGAAAGAGAGGAAAGAAGAAAACGAGCACCATCTTCTCTTTGCCTGATTTTGCACCTCCCTCTCCTGTCTTCATTTCTCTTCCATGATTTTCATTGCTCTTCCCATGAAAATTGCTTCCTTTTGATCTCTCCTCTCTCCTTTCTCTCTCCCTTCTCTTCTCTTGTTCTCTTTTGAATCTCAAAATCACACCAAAGGAAGCTTCTTTTCCTTATTGAATGAAGAAGAAAAAGAAGAAAAGAGATAGGTAAAGACACTGAAGAGCTCCACTGCCTATTGTTTCATTCCCTTTCCTCTCTTTCTATGTGTTGTTTTCCTTGTCGTTTCAGAAAGCTAGCAAAATAAGGGCAAGGGGGCTTCCTGAAGAGGAGAGGGCACCTATTTGTTTTAATTATAGAGGGAAAAGCGAGAGACAAGGAAGGGAGAGATGATAGATAAAGAAGAGTGCTATCCGTCTCCTTGTTTCTTGTGTCTTCTCTTCTTTTCAGTACCCCTCCAGAAAATTCAAATGGCCTCCTTGTTGTCTCTCCTCTCTCACTTCCCTTGCCCTTCTCTCCTTCTGTTACATTTTAACTAATAAAACACAAGAAAGGAACTTGTATGATAAAGCAGTGGAAGGGTAAGCAGAGGGTGACTCCTTGCGCGTGGACCTTGCCCATACTTCATCATATCCCTCTTTTCGGCCTGTCTCTTCTGCTCTTTTCCTTACCCTTCTCCTTTTCAAGTTCTTCCTTTTTAGTTTTTCTGTTTCGAAAAGAAAGAGGGAAGGGAGAGAGAAGGGAGAGAGGATAGATAAAGAAGAGTGCCATCTTCTTTGCGCCTTGTTTTGTCTCTCCATCTTCTTTGTTCATCTCTCTTCTATTCTTTTCTTGGCTCTTCCCATTAAAATTGTGTTCCTTTTATCTCTCCTCTCTCCTTCTCTTTCCCTTCTCTTCTCCTGTTCCCCTTTAAATGACAAAAACACAAGAAAGGAAGAAGAGGGGAATGGAGGCCCTTTTCCTGTATTCTCCTGTTGCAATGAATAAAGAAAAGAGGATAGGAGATAAGGAAGGGAATTGAGGAGCTCCTTTCGCTACTTTCTTATGCCCTTTCCTTTGTATCTACCACACAAAAACACGACTCTCAGCTTCCAAATAAACCCTATTTAAGCCACCCACCCCCCACCCCCCGGGGCAAAAAACAAGCAACAAAATCAACAGAAAACTTGCCCCTGCTCTTGGAAACGCTCAAGTTAAAACAGCGACAGCCAGAAAATGATTAAGGGTTGATACGGTTTGGGGTCTAGGGTTTAGGATTCAGGGTTTAGGGTTTAAAGGGTTCAGAGGGTTTGTTCTCATGCAAGTAAGCTACACAGGCCGCTCTCTAAAACTGCGAGCCTTTTTGGGGGGCCCTGGTACAACACCTCCCAGATTGATTTTGGGTAGCCCGCACGGGTTTAAGCTTTAAGGGCTAAGGCTAGGATGAGATACCTGGCCATAAGAAACCATTTAGGGCTTAAGGTTTAGGTACCCCGTTTTGTTCCGGGTTGTTGTGCCACCTCACTTGCGGTGTAGGTGCTTTGGGGCTTGCGTTTTCAAGCTCATTCAGCAAGTACCCCGAAAAGCCTTGAAAAAATCTTAAGCCCTAAACCTAAACCCTAAAGCCAAAAACGCGCAACCCTAAATCCTAAACCCTAAACCCACCATGACTTGCTGCCCAAGGGCTGATTGGCGCCGTAGCAGCTCTCAGTGACCGACAGGTTCGCCACACTTCGGAACTGGTACCTCGAACATAGCTCAAACTAGAGTTTAGGGTTTAGGGTTTAGGGTTTAGGGTGTAGGGTTTAGGGTTTAGGTTTTAGGTTTTAGGTTTTGGGTTTAGGGTTTAGGGTTTAGGGTTTAGGGTTTAGGGTTTAGGGTTTAGGGTTTAGGGTTTAGGGTTTAGGGTTTAGGGTTTAGGGGTTTAGGGTTGGTAGGGTTAGGGTTTAGGGTTTAGGGTTTAGGGTTTAGGTTTAGGGTTTAGGGTTTAGGGTTAGGGTTGAGGGTTTGAGGTTGAGGGTTAGGGGTTTAGGGTTTAGGGTTTAGGGTTTAGGGGTTTAGGGTTTAGGGTTTAGGGTTTAGGGTTGCGGGTTTAGGGTTTAGGGTTTAGGGTTTAGGGTTTAGGGTTTAGGGTTTAGGGTTTAGGGTTTAGGGTTTAGGGTTTAGGGTTTAGGGTTTAGGGTTTAGGGTTTAGGGTTTAGGGTTTAGGGTTTAGGGTTTAGGGTTTCATAGCATTTTAGATTGGCACTGTAAACCATCTGAACATATTCCTGACTATTGTAATCTTAGCCCAAGAAGGAGATATATGTAAACCATCTGAAACACTTCCTGAGTAAAATAACCCAATATGGGGAAGTATTAGACATGCCAATGGTCTGCCTAAAAACGAAAGGCTCCCCAGGACAATGGTACGTAAGCCCTTCATCAGGGAACGTGGGGGAAGTGTGGGCATCCTTTCTTTACGCGTCTTCTAGGGTCTTAGGGTTGGAGGCTTGGGGTTTTCTTTTTAAACCTTAGGGTCGAGGGCACAACAGCCCCCTCTGTTGTGTGCACTTCTTGAGTGCTGCAGGTAATTTCTGAAGGTACTACAAATGGGACCTAGGTACCGCTAGCCTCTAACGAACATCCGTAGGACCACGCGAAGCTGTAGCCATGGTGCATAGCAGCACACCTGTCCGGAAAAGCTTGAAGAACTTCACGCATCCGTTGCCAGCCATGTTACCCCACACTTGGGATGTTCCGCCCTTAAACTCACAGTCCTGAATAGGGACTATAATGGGGGGGGGGGGGTACTATAATCCCTATTCAGGACTGCTAGTATTAGGGGGGAACATCTCTAAACCCTAAAACCTCAACTCCTCCTGTAAACTCGACATCGCAAAGAACAAGTCGAAGGTGAGAAGTCATGCTTTCCCCGTACGCACACCTGGGGGTGGGGGGGTGGGGGGCCTAACATTAGGTTCCTGTATTGAAAACAAAGCCCCTGGGATATACAATGGATGACCCTCAACGACCCTAAACCCTAAACCTAAAATCCCAAATCCTAAAAGCCCTAAAGCAGTTTTCAGGTTGCCAAAGTGGGCGCACCATGCTTTGACCTGTTCCGATCGCTGCTCGCTATAGCCGAAGGCTGCCGGGATCGCATCCTGTCATGAACCCGCTTTAAGGTATGGGATTTAGGGTTTAGGGTTTAGGGTTTAGGGTGGTTTAGAAGAAATGAGCTAGGTTGGTCCTCGAAACCTTCTGAAAAATATTCCTAAGTAGGATCCTCTTCGTCTTTAACCCAACCCTAAATAGTATCCTCTTTGTCTTTCAAAGGGAAAGTCGACGTTTTCAAAGGCCTACCCAGTGTGTCAACTTCAGAGTACTAGCAAGCCGCCGACTCGAAGGAGTCCAGTTCATGGAGCCACGGTTTAGGGTTTAGGGTTTAGGGTTTAGGGTTTGGGGTTTGGGGTTTAGGGTTTAGGGTTTAGGGCTTAGGGCTTAGGGCTTAGGGCTTGGTCTTCAGGTTGGGTTTAGGGTTCGGGGTTTGGGGTATTGGGATATGGGTATAGGGTTACAAATAACGAACAGGAAGCCTTGCACCCTCAAAAGCTCTGAGCCCCAAGGCGCCTTGTGCTGCGCCGCTGGCGGCGCCTTGAGACCTCAGTTCGAGCTTTGGACATCTCGAGAGGATTTCGGGTTTAGGGTCTAGGGTCTAGAGTTTAGGGTCTAGGGTTTAGGGTTCAGGGTTGAGGGTTGAGGGTTGAGGATTTAGGGTTTAGGGTTTAGGGCTGAGGGTTTCTAGGGTTCCTTCCGTGGCCTCAACCTCCCCAGCCTCCACCTGCGATACCTCAAGGGCTTCCGTCGGGGCTACCTCCGTTCCCTTTTGCCTTTGCCTTTGGAGGCAAGAAGAATTTTCACTTTGCGCTTGAGATGCTCGACTTCGGCTACGGTGGAGTCCGGAAGGAGTCCGGAAACCAACCAGCCTTGTCCTAGATCTTGCGTAGATCCAGTTCTGGTTGTCGTGCTTGAACTGATAAAGCTCTTTCCACATGTCGTCCAATGAAGCTTCCATTTCCTGGCGCTCAACCATGCTATCCTCAGCAGCATTAAATGCAATTTTTGCGTCTCGACCTTTACAGCATGTTTGCCATGACCTTCCTAATCATAGCTCATCGAAGCAGCCCGTTGTAATACGTCTCTTGCCACCCAAAACCTAGGACTCCAAGTTGGAAAATGGGTTCAGAGTTTAGGGTTTTGGGGTTTGCGGGTTTTCCAGTGCTTGAGGGATTTGGGTTCCTCATGCATGCGGACCCTAAACCCCTTAGCCTTAAACTCCCTAAACCATTCCAAGGCAGAACCCTAAACCGCAAACCCTAAACCCTAAACCCCTTTAGGGTTTGGTCTAAGGCGTGCTGAGGGAGCACAGGAGCTCAACATCTGTACCGCCTTTCCAAGGGTGCAAAACCTCAACTACATTGCCTACGGAGTTCAGGTTTAGGGTTTAGGGTTTATATAGGGTTTAGGGTTTAGGGTCTAGGGTTTAGGGTTTAGGGTGTAGGGTTGCGGTTTGCCTCGGACCTCTCGAGGTTGTTCGGTGAACCCTCCCATAGCTAGGCGATGGTCGAAGGCAGTTAGGGTTACGGTTTAGGTTTTGCAGATGTTCGAAGGGTTTTACAGGGGGGCTAAGCTTTAGGGGTTCAGGGACCTCGGGCTTTTGGATGCGGAATCTGCGAGTCCAGCACTGGCTGTACACTGTGAGGTGCGCATTACGAGCCCTAAGCACTCAATACCGACGCAGTTTATGGTTTATGGTTTAGGGTCTAGGGTTTAGGTTTTGCACGCGAAACACCTCACGAAGCACATGAGGGTGGTATGGTTTTCGCATCTGGGAACTTCAGACAAGGTCGCACAGCGACGTGGGGTGGTCTGCGTTTTTGTGTTTCTGAAACGTCATGTGCTGCGACGTCTGCACTGCAAGACTCGTTCTGACTTCGTTCCTCGAAACCCTTTCGGAGTCTCCATTGTCCAGTCTTGTCTAAAGTGATTCATAAGAGTTTAGGTTTTAGGGTTTAGGATTTAGGGTGCAAATCATACAAATCTGTCAAATAAACCGCGATGCAGTACAGTAAATCTTAAGAAAATAACATTTCTGAGGAAAATGACTTAAAGAAATAACAACTTATATATTATCGTGGTAATGAGTGAGAGCGAATATGAAAGTGAGAGTGAATATGATGAAACATATTTGTATAATCAGATACACAAATTTAATTATTTCAATAGATGTGATAAGTGTAACCCAGTTAAGAACATACAGAAAATATTACTAGGCAAGTGCGATATCTTACATAGCTTTAAAAATCAGATCGTAGATTACTATGGTTGTGATAAATGTTGTACGTTAAGGAATTTGTTTGATGATTATATATTACCCTTTACTAAGTTAAACAAATATCCAGAATATGGTGAAGTTCATATAATAATGCGAGATGATGTTCAAAGGAAAGATTATATGCTTGAGTTACATATTGAAATGAAAACAATGTATGAGAACCTAGATACATTTGACTTCTATCAATGGCATCAGGAGAAAATGAATTATTACAAGGATATTTTATGTGGTTATGCTGATTGTTATCAAAGAGTTCATCATATTTTTATTGCAATCATATATCATTTACAATATCGTTTAAAAATAGACAAACAATTACATTATGATTATTTAGAAGCAACCACAGAGTTCTTAGATGAAATGATCGTTCAAAATTCAAACTAGATAGCCTCCTCACCAGCATAGTTATAATGTAATTATAATACATACGCAGTTATATTTTATAATTACAATGTAGTTTTAACCCTTAACCCTAAACCCTGAACCAAATTCTACGAGACCCCCCTTGCCTATTTAGGCCAATAATGCCACCTTAGGGATAATAGATGAGGTTATGGTTATTCCTAGAATTGTATTGATAATGGGGAAGTAGTAGTGATATATCGGTGAAGTGTAGGGGGGATCCTAGGAATGATCATCTAATGGGGGAAGTAGTAGTGATATATCGGTGAAATGTAGGGGGGATCCTAGGAATGATCATCTAATGGGTTGGCGGTGGCATTATTAGCCTAAATAGGCAAGGTATACTCTGACTACGTGTTGGCCCTAGACTGTTACAAAGGTCCACAGCACGATATCAGCCCCTATGCCCCCCTCACTTCCCCAAAAGTAAAACCTAGTTACACCCACACCCCCAAAACCCAGAAACCCCGACCCCTGAACCCCAAAACCCCCAAACCCTACCCCCTAAAACTCTATAAACGAAACCCGCAAACCACCTGAACCCTTACCCTGAACTCTAAACCCCCCCTGAACCCTAAATCCTAAACCCTGAACCCTAAACCCTAAGACCTGAACTCTAAACCCCGACACTCCCTAAACTCCAAACACCCGAAGCCTCCTAAACCCAAAACGCCCCCACGCCTCCTAAACCCCCAAACCCGAAGCCTCCAGGGTTTAGGGTTTAGGGTTTAGGGCTTAGGGCTTAGGGCTTAGGGTTTAGGGTTTAGGGTTTAGGGTTTAGGGTTTAGGGTTTAGGGAAAGCCCTTAAAATTCATAAAATTTAAACCCCAAAACGCCCTAACCCCTGAGCCCTAAACCCTAAACTCCAAACCCTCAACCCCGAGCCCTGAACCTTACACCCTAAACCCCGAGTCCTCAACCCTAAACCCAAACCCTAAACCCGAGCCCTAGACCCTAAATCCCAAAGCCTCAATCCCGAGCCCTAAACCCCAGACCGTAAACCCCGAGCCCTAAACCTGGAGCCCTAAACCCTAAACCCTAAACCCCAATCCCCAAACCCCAATCCCCAAACCCCAAACCCTAAACCCTAAACCGTAAAGCCCCAAACCCTAAACCCTAAGCCGGAACAGTTCAGGGGCTTGGGGCCCTCACCCGCGCGATCTAGGGCGCTGCTCATGGCTGGGATCTTTTCCTGCGAGGGTGTTAGGGCTTAGGGTTTAAGGGGTTTAGGGTGGGGATAGGGGGTTTACGGTTTTTGGGGGCTTAAGGAGGTCTAGGGTTTATGGGGTTACCCGAAATCCCAAACCCTAAACCCTAAAACCTGCTCCCCAAGCAGTAGACCCGAACGCCCTTCTCCATGGTGCCCAGAGCCCGAGTGAAAATTGAGTGGGGCGAAAACTTGGGGTGCGGCTAAGAGCCTCAACACGCCCAAGCCCCCCGCACCCAAAAACAAAAGCTTTCCGTGACTCTAGGGTTTAAGGTTGCAGTGGGCACCTATTTGGCGGGGAATGCGGGCCTCGGAGCTAAGAATTTTGGGTGCTGACGACATTGTTGCGATGGAAACGTCTAGCCCGGAACACGACACTCCTAATTGTGGGGTTTTGGGGTTTGGGTTAGGGTTGACGAACCCTAAACCTTACGCCCGAACCTCACACCCCAAGCCAACCCCAAACCCCAAACCCCAAACCCCAAACCCCAAACCCCAAACCCCAAACCCCAAACCCCAAACCCTAAACCCTAAACCCTAAGCCCTAAACCCTAAACCCTAAACCCTAAACCCTAAACCCTAAACCCTAAACCCAAACCCCAAACCCCAAACCCTAAACCCTAAACCCTAAACCCTAAACCCTAAACCCTAAACCCTAAACCCTAAACCCCACACCAAACGAAAAAGAAAAGTCCCGGCCTTCACCTTGCCGCTGTCCAAGGCATAGGCCTCCTCCCTGTCTCGGCTGAAGCGCACGCCGGCCCCTGGCGCCGTGGATGTGTCATGAGATCTGGGCTTTTGGGGGGCTGGGGTTTAGGGTTTAGGGTTTAGGGTTTAGGGTTTAGGGCTTAGGGCTTAGGGTTTAGGGTCTAGGGTTCAGGGTTTAGGGTTTTGGGTTTAGGGTTTAGGGTTTAGGGTTTAGGGTTTAGGGCTAAGGGGGGTTTAGTGTTTTTTGGGTGGACTCGGGCGCTTGCAGGCCTGTCTGCTTGAGTTCAGCGTTGTACGTGCCCACATCGCACTCCCCAGTGTCCAGGTTGTACAGCACGCCCTGAAGTGGGGTTTAGGGTTTAGGGTTTAGGCTTTAGGGTTTCGGCTTCGGGTATACAGTAGCGGCCTGAAGAATTAGAATAGGTTTTTTGGTTTGTTTGCTTTTTTATTCTGATCTTTTTTTCTTTTTTTTTGGGGGGGGGGGGCTATTCTATAATTATAAAGGGACTCCAAGGGAACACGATCAGTAATTATTCCGACCCCAATATTTGCTTTGGGGGTGTAGGATGGTTGAGAGCTGCTTGGTGCCTATTTTAGATACCCTAACTACCCTAGACTAGATGCCTAAACCCTAAACCCTAAACCCTAAACCCTAAACCCTAAACCCTAAACCCTAAACCCTAAACCCTAAACCCTAAACCCTAAATTCCCGACGTACCCTAGCTGACCTAGATACGTTAACTCTTCTAAACACCACCACACTCAGAGAGCCTGAAGACCTCTTATGCTTTGGGTTCAGGATGGTTGAGGATCCCAAGCTTTGCCCTAAACCCTAAACCCTAAACCCTAAACCCTAAATCCTAAACCCCTAAACCTGGCAAGGCCAATCTTCAGGGATTAGGGCTTAGGGTTGGGTTTGGGACGTAAGGTTCAGGGTTTTGGACTTGAGGTTGAGGGTTTGGGGTTTGGGGTTTGGGGTTTGGGGTTTAGGGTTTAGGGTTTAGGGTTTAGGGTTTAGGGTTTAGGGTTTAGGGTTTAGGGTTAGGGTTTAGGGTTTAGGGTTTAGGGTTTAGGGTTTGAGGTTGAGGGTGTGGGGTTTAGGGGTCTTGGTTTGGGGTTTGGGGCCCAGGGTCTGGGATTGACGGTTGAAGGCTGGGGGTTTGGGATTCAGAGGGGTTTGGGGCTTCGGGTTTGGGATTTAGGGTTGACGGTTGGGATGTAGGGTTAAGGGTTTGGGATTTAGGGTTAAGGGTTTGGGATTTAGGGTTAAGGGTTTGGGATTTAGGATTTGGGCTTTGGGCTTCAGGGTTCTAAGGCTCAGGATCTACAAGAAAGCAAGGACAAACAGGACACAGATACAGCAAGCCAGGAACCAAACACAAAAAACACGAGACGCATTTTGCTCCTTCACAGCGTCCGAACTACTTGGAACCCTCAGGGCTCAAACCCTAAACCCTAAGCCCTCATCAACTTCTATTGCTGGCTATAGAATTATAGACTATGGAGTGAACAAAAACTCAGGGACATGTGTCTGATCGCAAGGTACAAAGCACTCCTGGCTACAGCCCGAGCCCTGAAAAGCCCTGACTAAAAACCCCCGCCAAAAAAATACCCTTAACCCCCCCCCAAACCCTAAACCCCAAACCCTAAGCCCTAAACCTTAAGCCCTAAACCCTAAATCCTAAACATCAAGCCCTAAGCTCAATACCGCAACAAGGGGACCAGCCTTTCCGTTGGGCTTGCCATGGATGTCTAGCGTACCAGCATACAGGTTGCCTCCGGCGCAACCTCGGAAGGGCGCTACGTTTAGGGTTTAGGGTTTAGGGTTCGGGTTTAGGTTTTGGGGTTTAAGAGGCAGTTCTCATGCTTTTTGTCCTTAGAGGGGGAAGTTGGCTGGCCAATTATGACGGGCATTCTCAGGGAATGGTACTAGCAATCATGTAAGCGTCTGCATTCTACCGTGGAGGGGGTTTCTGGGGTTCGGGGGCTCTGGATTTAAGTACCCCCCCCCCCCCCAAGCCCTAAACCCGTAGGTTTTGGGTTTGGCGTTCAGGCTCTATAAGGCATGACACTACACGGTTTATGTCGTTGACTTAATCCCAGAAAGACAGCAGCTACCCTACTGATAACCTTACTAAATACCCTAAACCCATGAACCTACCCCCCCGCCCTACTTGTTATTATGGCCCATATGAGTTTTAGTTTGGGCGTAGCGGCTATTATTCTGGGTGATCTGAGGGTGCAGGAACCTTGGGGGTCCAGGAACCTTACTTACAACCCCAAAACACAAACGCCAAACCCTAAACCGCCCCGAAACCTAAACCCTATAACCTGCACCCCGAAAAGCTTCGAGGAAGCAGGCTGCCAGTTTCGGTGGATTTTTGAGGAAGGACTTGTCCCTCGACATCCTAAACTTTCGGAACCTTGTGAGCTTGGGAGCATAGACGGGGTCCAGTTGTAGTACTCTCTGAAAGTATTGGTTAGAGTTCAGGGTTTAGGTTTAGGTACAACCATCTGAGCAGGTGTTGCGGCAGTTCCAAACCACTGGTGCACAGGTCTCAACAAATGCCTTTCGAGCTCGCATCATAGGGACACGCCCTAAGCATCATAGCGAGAATGGCAGGCATAGGTCGCAGAAAGGAGCAAGTTTGTGCGAGCTTCCTTTCACGATACAACTTGTGTGGCAGATCGCGCTCCTGTGTAGACACTGAACGCGAAGCCCTACTTACCTCTCATGCTGAGGCTCGCCAGGGACATCGCCCCAAACAATGCCAACTAGCAGGTTCCGGATCCTTTGCACCGGTATCATACAACTTTGAGTATCCACAGCACGCGTCACAAAGTCACAAACGTCACACCTTGTCTTCGTGGCCTACGCTACTTGCCTTACTATGTCTGAAGAACCACTTCGCTGCCTACTTTATTAGTGTGTATTATGTATGTATATATATATGCACAGAACACATTATAGTAACACTGCAACTGCAACCTATAGGCACACAATTTGTGTGTGGCTATCCAGATACACATGCTGCTCTTGACGTTCAGAGAATGCGACTCTGACTACGGAAAACATTTGCAGCCCGCTGGGGCAGCTCAGCATTCATCAGCATTGGCAGGCTGCCCTTGGCAGAGACGGTTTAGGGTTTGGGGTTTAGGGCCTGGGGCAAATAACCCTAGGGCCTACCTTGCTTCCAGATGAGGCAAACAACAAGGAGATCCTAGGATCCTATCACCAAGTTTGACTCCGTTGAAAGAGGAAAACAGCAACGGAACACCCTAACTCCTTAGAACCCTTGCTTACCAAGACCAGCGAACCTGCCCAACACGCGGCAAAAGATCTTCAACCCGGAGCCCACAGAGCCTAAACTCCTTCACCCCAAACCCTAAACCCCGAGCCCCCTAAACCCTAAACCCTAAACCCCAAAGTCCCTTAACCCCAAAGTCCCTAAACCCCAAAAACCCTCAAGTCCGCAAGAGGCACTGCAGCCCATAAGCTTCCCCCTTCAAGCTCATCTCACCAATTTTACCCGTCCCCCCCCCATCCCCCCAAAACAGGCAACTTCTAGGTCTAGAAGTTGCAACTCGCGTGTTCACCGAAAAACCCAAGCAAAACTCCAAGTGCTTGAACATGTCAAACGCAAAAACACACAACTCCCGAACCCTTTCAGCACCAAAAAAAGCTCTTTCCCTTGTACCTCTAGACCTCAAGCTCCGCGATAGACAGGGTGCCACAATGGCTTAGGATTCAGGGTTGAGGCATTAAGGGTAGCGGGGGACATAAGGAATTGACACAGTTTTTGTTCCCCGTCGGCACTTAACTTAGACCCAAGAGTAACCGATTTTTGTTCCCCGTCGGCACGTAACTTAGACCCAAGAGCAACCGAGGAATAGAAAGGGTACCCTTCTTGGTTGAAAGGGCTCAGAAGGGAGCCCTTGACCCTTAAACAACAAAAGGGAAAAAGGGCCTACTCTGGTTCCTCAACCCTACACCCTGCACCCTAAACCCTAAACCCTAAGCCCTAAACCGTAAACCCTAAACCCTGAACCCTAACCCTAAACCCTAAACCCCATCCCTAAACCCTAAACCCTAAGTAAAAAGGCCAGCGGCGTGAGCTCCCAGGTCGCACGCTGCCGCCAGCGTGTGGAGGGTGGTGAGGTCGCCGTGGAGTCTGCAGGCTTCAGCTTAGTGTCAGGTTGGTCCAAGGGTTGAGGGTTGAGGGTTTAGGGTTTGGGGTTTAGGGTTAGGGTTTAGGGTTTAGGGTTTAGGGTTTAGGGTTTAGGGTTTAGGGTTTAGGGTCTAGGGTCTAGGGTTTTGGGTTTAGGGTTTTGGGTTTAGGGTTTAGGGTCTAGGGTCTAGGGTTTAGGGTTTAGGGTTTAGGGTTTAGGGTTTAGGGTTTAGAGTTTAGGGTTTAGGGTTTAGGCTTTAGGCTTTAGGCTTTAGGCTTTGGCTTTAGGCTTTAGGCTTTAGGGTTTAGGGTTTAGGGTTTAGGGTTTCGGGTTTCGGGTTTCGGGTTTAGGGTTTAGGCTTTAGGCTTTAGGCCTTAGGGTTTAGGGTTTAGGGTTTAGGGTTTAGTTTAGGGTATCCCAGATGCCTAACGCTCTCGGAAGGCCTCCACACCTCCATGTTGGCAACGAGCGCGAGGACCTATGTCAGTTTAGGGCTTAGGGTTTAGGTTTTAGGGTTTAGGGCCTAAAGTTTAGGGCTTAGGGTTTAGGGTTTGGGGTTTAGGGTTTACGTTTTAGGGTTTACGGTTTAGGGTTTGGGGTTGCCAGTTGCTGGTTTGGGGGGGTGGGCGGGTGCGGGGAGGGACGTCCAAAAGGAACATCAAGGCTCACAGAAAAAGAGCCCTCAACAAAAGGTACCATTGAGAGCGTCAACCCCAGCCCGCGGATCCCTACGTAACTCTCCGAGACCCTGAAGCCTGTTCCTTTCGCTATCGGCTTGCCCCTAGGCCGCTAAAGACCATTCCCGAACAAGCATGCTCTGACACAACATGTGAAGCATCCCAAAGCCTCCTACTGCAAACCCCGTAAACATAAACCCTAAACCCTAACCCTAAACCCTGTAAACCTAGGCAGCACCGGGAGCTCAAAATGCAACATAGCCCCAACGGCTTACCTACCCTTAGGCTCCTGGCGATCCAAACTCCAAAAGAGTTGAGACCCCAGAGCCCTCCCCAGGAGGTCCTTAGGCGTACTCGTTCTTGGCTGTAACCCCTTAGTGGTCTACACCCTAAACCCTGAACCCTAAACCCAGACCCCACTCAGAACTAGTTAGCTCCGGGTAGATCCTGTTACCGTGCTAAGGCGCCGATGTCCATTTACCTGCCGCGGCAAAGGCCCTCAGAGCTCCGTTGCCTGCAGCGCTGTCGGGTTTCGGGCTTAGGGACGAGGGCTGGGTTTGTTTTAAGGGGTTTATCAAGGAAAATAAACCCTTCAATTTAGGGTAAGAAGGTCTGGGTCCGAGTAGTTACTTATAGGTTACCTTGTAAATTCTAACCCTACTTAGAACTACTCATACACCTTCTCAGTCGGTGCTTTCTGAGGACAGCGGATGAACCCTAAACCCTAAACCCTAAACCCTAAACAACAATAACCCTAAACCCTAAACCCTAAGCCCTAACTGCTTGTTTAGGCCTAGGCTGCGAACCTTCGAGTCTTGTGGATGTCAGGGCGTTTAGGGTTTTTACGGGTTCAGGGCCAAGAGTAAAAGGGGCACGACTTCCAGCATACTTGCAGCTGGAGGTTTAGGGTTTAGGATTTAGGGCTTAGGGTTTAGGGCTTAGGGCTTAGGGCTTGGGGCTGGAGGTTGTCGGAGTTTCCCACGATTGGGGCGCCCCTCTTTACTTCCACGATCATAGAAACACAACCATCAACCCCAAATTCCAGTCATAAGCCTGCAAAACAACCCTAAAACCCTAAAGCCGTAACAACCTTAAACCCTAAACCCTAAACGAGCCTAGGGCACGGAAGCCTACAGCCCTAAACAACCCCCAAAAGCCCCAAATAACCCCAGTCAGCCCCAAAAGCACCCAAAGCCCCAAAGCCCCAAAGCCCCAAAAGCACCCAAAGCCCAGAAGAACCCTACAACCTTGGGATGTTCTCCCTTTTGCTAACACTCCTTCAAAGGGATTGCAGCACCCCCTGGTACAATCCCTATCTTGGTTGCTGAGTTCATAAGCCCCAAAAAAGTGTACACTGTCAGTTTTCTAGGGGATTCAAGTATCCCAAAAAATGTAAAGTGTACTCACTCAGCTACTAAGCTATTAAGGACTGTTGGTATGGGGGCGGGGGGAGGGGGAAACATCCCAACTACAACCCCCAGAACGACCCCAGACCCGCAAAAGGCACCAAGTAGCCTTAACTCGCCAGAAAGCCCCAAACTGCCCTGAAAGGGTTTAGGGTTTAGGGTTTTAGCCGGCATCAGGGCCCGAAACCCCCCAAACATACTGCAAGCCCTACCCCAAATTTAGGGTTTAGGGTTTAGGGCTTAGCCCACAAGATCACTGACGCCTAAAACAGCCCGAAGCAAGCCTAACTAAAGCCCGGAGCAAGCCCTAAATGGACATTTCCGGGTAACCTCAGTTCTACGCCGGAGTACCTTCCAAAACTACCCGAATCCTTATTCTAGGAACGCCCAAAGGTGCACCTACCTCCGGGAGTCCCCAAATATCCCTAAACCCTAAACCCTAAACCCTAAACCCTAAAGTCCTAAAGTCAGCCCACAAGCCGCTCTTTTTCGCCCCAAGGTGCATGTCACCGTGTTGGGGCAGAGGGAGGCGGTGGGCCTCAGGGGGCCAAAAGCATGGGGGATTTCGGGGTTTTGTTCAGGATTGAGGGTTTAGGGTTTAGGGTTCTTCGGGTTTTAGGGCTTTAAGCCCCAAGCCCTTAGCCCTAAACCCTGAACCCTAAACCCGAAGACCTTTATATAGGGTAAGAGTTTAGGGGGATTCACGGTAAAGGGCTGGGAAGCGATTAGCAACCGAGCTGGCTTCGGGCTTAAATGCTTTCAAAGTGCTCCTTGGCAGGGACACATTGGGCCTTAGGGCTTGGGGCTTGGGGCTTACCGGGCTCCGGGCTCAAGGCTTGGGGTTTAGGACTTAGGGTTTAGGGTTTAGGGTTTAGGGTTTAGGGTTTAGGGTTTAGGGTTTAGGGTCTACAGGGTTGAGGGGTGAGGTTTAGGGTGGAGCTTCATCCCCGAGAAGTGCTCCTTACGTGTAGGCCTTGCGGGTTGAAGGCCTGCACCCCAGACTCTGTATACTTTAGGGTTTTAGGGTTTTAGGGTTTTAGGGCTTTAGGGTTTTAGGGTTTTAGGGTTTTAGGGCTCTAAGGAGTCCATAAGGATTCGAGTAACCAAACAAATGCCTGGAAGTATACGGAGAAGCTCTCTGCGCCCTCCTTCTGTTGTAGTAGCCCAGTAACCTTTTTCTGAGGGTACCCTTTTTTTGATTAGTTGCTTTATAAGGGAACTTGGGATGTTCGCTCTTATTTTTTTAGCAGTGATTCATGGGAATTATAGAAACCCCTGTGAGAATCCCTGTTAAGGACTGTTAGTATAAGGGGGAACATCCCACCCTAAACCCTAAACCCTAAACCCTAAACCCTAAACCCTAAACCCTAAACCCTAAACCCTAAACCCTAAACCCTAAACCCCAGAAAAGGGTAAAGGGTACTGGGCTGCCAAGGAGTGACTTCTAGATGTCCTAGGATTGCTCAAATAAGGATTCGTTTAGGGTTTAGGGTTTAGGGTTTAG